TAGGTTCGCATTGTTTTCGGAAGTGCCGGGTGTAGCACGAAGCTAGCTAGCTAGCCGTTTTTCGAACAGAGTCAACACAGTAGCCATTGTGTGCTGTACTGTGGCAGCTAAATACAATATATTTGTGCTAGCTAGCCAACGTTTAATTATTGCTGCGTTATGAAAGGAACTAGACACGGACACGAATTATCCGTTTAGTGTGTTAACACACTATTGGTGGTTTGTTGTGACCAAGTGTTGGTGCTAAACTGTGTGTTATTGGATGCTAGCATGCTAGTTAGCTATGGTGTCATAGTTAGCTAGCTGAATAAAGTGGGTTGAGTCCATTCCTTGAAACATTGAACCGCTGTGGTTCACAACAATTCTGATTTCTAAAGGTGGAAGTTGGGAGAGTTTTTGTTCGGGTGGTTCAGTGAAACAATTATAGTTTCTGAGGTGGAAGTTTTGGTGAGGGAGGCCCTACTCTCTCCTCTCCCAGATGTTTAGTTCATTTCATTCCGATCTCCTCTGCATTATTGTAGCCATTTGCTACAGCCTGTCAACTATGCCTCTGCCTATCCCTGTTCTCTCCTCTCTGCACAGGCTACACAAACGCCTCACACCACGTGGCTGCTGCCTCTCTAACCTGGTGGTCCCTGCACGCACCCCACACCTGGAGTTCCAGGTCTCAGGCAGCCTCTGGAACTGCCGTTCTGCTGCCAACAAAGCTGACTTCATCCCAGCCTATGCTAACCTCCAGTCCCTCGACTTCCTGGCGCTGACGGAAACATGGATTACCACTGAAAACACTGCTACTCCTACTGCTCTCTCCTCGTCTGACCATGTGTTCTCGCATACCCCGAGAGCATCTGGTCAGAGGGGTGGTGGCACAGGAATCCTCATCTCTCCCAAGTGGACATTCTCAATTTTTCCCCTAACCCATCTGTCTATCTCCTCATTTGAATTCCATGCTGTCACAGTCACTAGCCCATTTAAGCTTAATATCCTTGTCATCTATCGCCCTCCAGGTTCCCTTGGAGAGTTCATCAATGAGCTTGACGCCTTGATAAGTTCCTTTCCTGAGGATGGCTCACCCCTCACAGTTTTGGGGGATTTCAACCTCCCTACGTCCACATTTGACTCATTTCTCTCTGCCTCCTTCTTTCCACTCCTCTCCTCTTTTGACCTCACCCTCTCACCGTCCCCCCCTACTCACAAGGCAGGCAATACGCTTGACCTCATCTTTACTAGATGCTGCTCTTCTACTAATCTCACTGCAACTCCCCTCCATGTCTCCGACCACTACTTTGTTTCCTTTTCTCTCTCGCTCTCCTCCAACACTACTCACTCTGCCCCTACACAGATGGTAATGCGCCGCCGCAACCTTCGCTCTCTCTCTCCCACTACTCTCTCCTCTTCCATCCTATCATCTCTTCCCTCTGCTCAATCCTTCTCCCTCCAATCTCCTGATTCTGCCTCCTCAACCCTCCTCTCCTCCCTTTCTGCATCCTTTGACTCTCTGTGTCCCCTATCCTCCCGGCCGGCTCGGTCCTCCCCTCCAGCTCCGTGGCTTGATGACTCATTGCGAGCTCACAGAACAGAGCTCCGGGCAGCGGAGCGGAAATGGAAGAAAACTAAACTCCCTGCCGACCTGGCATCTTTTCACTCCCTCCTCTCTACATTTTCTTCATCTGTTTCTGCTGCTAAGGCCACTTTCTACCACTCTAAATTCCAAGCATCTGCCTCTAACCCTAGGAAGCTCTTTGCCACATTTTCCTCCCTCCTGAATCCCCCCCCCCCCCTCTTCTCTCTCTGAAAGAGAAACTGTGAAGGTTGACGACATCCGATCCTCGTTTGTTAAGTCTAATGACACTGCTGGTCCTACTCACACTGCCCTACCCTATGCTCTGACTTCTTTCTCCCCTCTCTCTCCAGATAAAATCCTGCGACTTGTGACTGCAGGCCGCCCAACAACCTGCCCGCTTGACCCCATCCCCTCCTCTTTTCTCCAGACCATCTCCGGTGACCTTCTCCCCTACCTCACCTCGCTGATCAACTCATCCTTGACCGCTGGCCATGTCCCTTCCGTCTTCAAGAGAGCGAGAGTTGCACCCCTTCTCAAAAAACCAACACTCGATCCCACTGATGTCAACAACTACAGACCAGTATCCCTTCTTTCTTTTCTTTCCAAAACTATTGAGCGTGCCGTCTTTAGCCAACTCTCTTGCTATCTCTCTCAGAATGACCTTCTTGATCCAAACCAGTCAGGTTTCAGGACTGGTCATTCAACTGAGACTGCTCTTCTCTGTGTCACGGAGGCTCTCCGCACTGCTAAAGCTAACTCTCTCTCCTCTGCTCTTGTCCTTCTAGACCTGTCTGCTGCCTTTGATACTGTGAACCATCAGATCCTCCTCTCCACCCTCTCCGAGCTGGGCATCTCCGGCGCGGCTCACTCCTGGATTGCGTCCTACCTGACTGGTCGCTCCTACCAAGTGGCGTGGCGAGAAGCTGTCTCCCCACCACGTGCTCTCACCACTGGTGTCCCCCAGGGCTCAGTTCTAGGCCCTCTCCTATTCTCCCTATACACCAAGTCACTTGGCTCTGTCATATCCTCACATGGCCTCTCCTATCATTGCTACGCTGACGATACACAACTAATCTTCTCCTTTCCCCCTTCTGATAACCAGGTGGCGAATCGCATCTCTGCATGTCTGGCAGACATATCAGCATGGATGACGGATCACCACCTCAAGCTGAACCCTGGCAAGACGGAGCTGCTCTTCCTCCCGGGGAAGGACTGCCCGTTCCATGATCTCGCCATCACGGTTGACAACTCCGTTGTGTCCTCCTCCCAGAGTGCGAAGAGCCTTGGCGTGACCCTGGACAACACCCTGTCGTTCTCCGCTAACATCAAGGCGGTGACCCGATCCTGCAGGTTCATGCTCTACAACATTCGGAGAGTACGACCCTGCCTTACACAGGAAGCGGCACAGGTCCTAATCCAGGCACTTGTCATCTCCCGTCTGGATTACTGCAACTCGCTGTTGGCTGGCCTCCCTGCCTGTGCCATTAAACCCCTACAACTCATCCAGAATGCCGCAGCCCGTCTGGTGTTCAACCTTCCCAAGTTCTCTCATGTCACCCCCCTCCTCCGCACACTCCACTGGCTTCCAGTTGAAGCTCGCATCCGTTACAAGACCATGGTGCTTGCCTATGGAGCAGTGAGGGGAACGGCACCTCCGTAACTTCGGGCTCTGATCAGTCCCTACACCCAAACGAGGGCATTGCGTTCATCCACCTCTGGCCTGCTGGCTCCCCTTCCTCTGCGGAAGCATAGTTCCCGCTCAGCCCAGTCAAAACTGTTCGCTGCTCTGGCACCCCAATGGTGGAACAAGCTCCCTCACGACGCCAGGACAGCGGAGTCACTCACCACCTTCCGGAGACCTTTGAAACCCCACCTCTTTAAGGAACACCTGGGATAGGATAAAGTAATCCTTCTACCCCCCCCCCAAAAAAAAAAAAAAAAAAAAAGGGTAAAGTGGTTATCCCACTGGCTATAGGGTGATTGCACCAATTTGTAAGTCGCTCTGGATAAGAGCGTCTGCTAAATGACGTAAATGTGCCCTTGAGCAAGGCACTTAACCCTAATTGCTCCTGTAAGTCGCTCTGGATAAGAGCGTCTGCTAAATGACTAAAATGTAAAATGTAAAATGTAATTTGTTTCTTCTCAAATAGGAGAGAGAGCCAACCTCAGGCTGTCAGGAAGCCCTCTGAGGTGCCAGTCATCTGCACTGATCTGTAGTCAAGGTGGGCATCATGACTGGTGAAGGCAGCTACGAGCACAAGAGGTCTTTTTATGGTAACACTTTACTTGAAGCCTGCAGGTATAATGGTTTATTACTTGTTATATGCAAGTATTCACCTATGACATATTATACGGTTTATAAAATGTAATTACTCTATTTATTAGGACTATTTAGACATTGGGGAAAAGCTGGAATTGAACCCTGGTCTCCCGGCTCATGTGCCAAAAGTCAGGACTGTTACCACTTGACCACAGGCTCTGCACTGTACAACAGGTCTCTGACTGTACTCATTGACTGTATCCATGCATGCATGGCACTCTGACTGGATAGGAAGGTCTTTATTGGACATGAGCTTTATAGAGTGTAATTATCCTCATCATCCCATCAAATGGAGAACCGGGGGAGAGGAAGAGAGGAGAAGGGAGGCGCCAGTTGTGACAACTGCCTCATTGCCCGTGCTGATTTTACAAGCCAATCCAAACAATTGGAAATGAAGCGTTATACAAACCCCTCTCCCCGTAAGCTCTACTTTGTGTTAAGTGGCGGGATATAAGACCTTTAGCACAGAGTTTCTAAACCCAGAGGCGCAACATCGCGAGACTTCCGGGAACGCTTGCAAAGAAGACCAAGCAGACCAGGCCGGGGTTTGAGAAGTCAATGAGAGAGTTGAAAACTTCTTCATTAGTTGTTAATTTTCTCGAAATCTAAAGGCACAACCTAGATTCGAGCCAATGTCTTAAGTAGTTGAACTTGTTATTAATCCAACCACGTGAAAGTGACAAACTGACACGTTTTCATTTTTGTCAAAAACAATTTTATATCAAAGGCGTGCCTTCGATTTGACGGCCTGCACATGCGTAGTTCGGAACGAGACAACCGTTAGACTCGATGATGTGTTTCTGCGCATGAGCTTAGCTAGCCAATGTCACCATGACATCGCCTACAAGTGTGATCAGGGATTTCTATTGGAGAAGCAGTTTCTGCCTATCTTCATACTGTACTGTCTTTGCCTTTCAGTGAGTGAGGTCACGTTCAAGGATTTCACCAACATATCCCTCCTCCCTCCCCATATTGCCATTCCCCACACATTCAACCTGGGAGGGAGGCGTGACCGCACTACAGAAACACACAGTGTGAAGGAGAGTAACCTGTTTTTTTTCCAAACGCCAGCCCCCTTGAGAGACACGTCCCTATTTGTGGTCCGCCACTCGCCACTCACATCCCTGCTATTATGGCCTCCGTGACTACGGAGGTGGAGGTGTTCTGTTTATGTGGCGAGGGGGGTTGTTGATTCGCCGCCGTCCCAGATTCCCTCAGTGCTCTCTCTCGCAGGATGTCTGGGGCGGTTGAGAGGGAGAGGGGAGGCGGGGAAGATGGAGGTTGGGGCGAGGTTGGAGGGGGGCAGACACACTCAATCAGGATCCCAGTGCCACACTCCCACAGGGCAGCTCGTGAATGTGACACCGCTCCCCTCTCTACCAACCCCCTAATTAACTTGTGGGTCTAATTAGGTTTTTAATATCCATACACACCCTCAATATTATTTTCCTCTCTCTCTCCATTTCTCTCTCTCTTTATCGCTCTGTCTCGTTCTGTCTTTACTGCTACTACTAGGAGGGAGGGATTGGTGGAAAGATGTGCTCAGAACATAGTGGGGGATGATGAGAAAGGGGGTTTGATTAAACAAGTGGACAGATTGGTGGAGTGGTCAGCCTCGGAGGATGAAACAAGTGGACAGATTGGTGGAGTGGTCAGCCTCGGAGGATGAAACAAGTGGACAGATTGGTGGAGTGGTCAGCCTCGGAGGATGAAACAAGTGGACAGATTGGTGGAGTGGTCAGTCTCGGAGTATACTCCAAGATGGAGAGATGAAGGACTCTCGTGCTCTCCCAAAACACTTGATAAAACCAGTTAATCAAGATAAGCAAAAATAGATTAAGAACACACAAGTGTGCACACACACACACACACACACACACTATATGGGTGCACTATGAACAGAAATAGATTAAACAGTAGTAGACAGGGCCAGACTAATGCATTTCAGGCCCCAGGACATCTACCTCCCTGCATGCCCGTTCGGTAATCCGGCCCTGGTAGTAGGCCAATTCTACAGCCATGCAGCAGGTAATTAAACCTCAACAGGCGTCTCTATTTTGCTCCATTTTCCATTGTTATTGATCAGGCTGAGAATTTCAATGAAAGTCTGAAATAAATAGCGGGGGCCCTTGTAGAAATCACTGTGTCAGAGATCAATAGCTAGTGGATTAAACCTAAACACGTGCAGTCACAGAAATTCTAATATTGAATGTTGGAGCTGGAGCCTTGTAGCTCTGTGTGAGACCTAAGAGATTGCCAAGGGGCACTGGGAGTTAGGGAGTCCTGGGTAGAGAGATGAAGTGAGAAGAAGGAGACATCAGGGACAGGTACTGTGAAAAGACTCCAGGCAGACAGACAGACAGACAGACAGACAGACAGACAGACAGACAGACAGACAGACAGACAGACAGACAGACAGACATCAGTGCAGCAGACTCTCACACTTTGCAGTTAGTCTCTTCCGCCCTTCACTCCTGATCTTAAGCAGTGGAGGCTCCACATCTCTCTCTGCCAGTTACCTTATGCTCTTCATCCCATCCCTCTATCCTTCCCCCTGCCTCCCTCCCTGTCTGTCTGTGCCTGCATTTTTAGGACAGTGGGAGTGTGTGTGTCAATATTGAGCTGCAATGTGTGTGGGCTTCTCCTCTCCTCCTCCACGCCGCGTCAGCTCGCAGGAACACGCCAATGAGCACGCTCTGCCTGCCGCGGAGGTGATACGGCAGCCCACTTAACGCTGCACCTGCTGCTATCGATTCATTCGACCAACTGTTGGTCCAATGGAGCCTCTCTCCTGGCAGCTGCACCTATTAGCACCAGGAAAAGGGGAGGGACGCAGACGGGGGGACAGGGAGGACAGGGGCGGCTGTGAGTAAATGCCCTACTGGGACACCATATTAAATGTTTTTACACGCCGCCGCTCGGTCCAAAGCGGCTCTATCCGGCCAGTGGCCAGCGGAGAGACCAGTGTGTCACCTCGGGTTTGGGGGAAGGCCTTTGATTAATGGTTGGCTGGTGTTTAAACATAGAAACGGCGGTATTGAATTTCCACAACTGTTGCCTGGGTCTTGTTCTATACGCAGGGCTCAGGGCTATTATTGGTGCAAATTAGATCCCAGTCACAATCAGAGAAGAAGTGGGAATGGGAATGAAAGAAGTCCATTTATCAGGTCGAATCACACCAGCATATCACAGAGCAGAGCACATCATCTGTTACTCTGGTGGAGGTAGAGACAGGAGAGGGATGTAGTGAGAGGAGGAGAGGGGCTGAACGGGCTCCCAGACCGAGGCTGATGATTGGTCGCTAGGTCATTAGCCACGGTCCACTGACTGCCGTGGCGCCCGGTGTGTGGGGTTGGCGCGAGCTGTTTGTAGGGGTCAGGGGTCAGCCAGGTTGTTTGTAGGGGTCGGAGAGGTCAGAGGTTAGTCTTACCAAGTGCACACGGTACATGATGCTGATTCCCAGGGTCATAAAAGGCTTGGAGAAATCGATGACCTTCTCCCTCTCTGCGGTGATGGTGAGCCCGGCTACGGCCAGGTCCGCTTTCTGGAATAGACACACACACACACACACACACACACACACACACACACACACACACACACACACACCACACCAACTGTTCAGATATGCAGAGATAGGTAAACCTACAGTAGCAAAGGTTGGGTTGTGGGGTTGGAAAATGCATGGAAAGTTAAATGAAATAGTAAGTAGGCTACTGGTGTAATTCCACTCCTACTGTGCTGCCATTGTTGTCTGTGACGCCTAGTCTGCCAGCAGTTTGCAGCATAATCCACCAATGGCTTTGTGTCTGAGACCTGACTCATGCAGGGCACCAGGGAGAACAGAGTGTAGAACAGAGGGGAGGGCTACATCCCAAATGAAACCCTATTCACTATGTAGTGCACTACTTCTGAGCAGGACCCTTAGAGCTCTGGTCAAAATGTGTGCACTATATAGGGAATAGGGTGCCATTTGAGACACACCTTAGAACAGAGTGCAATGTTTTTTTAAGCAGGCGAAGGGCAGATTGTTATGACAAATCACTTGACACCGCAGCTAGTCAGCCAGCCAGGCTGAGCCAGTCAGCCAGCCAGCCAGCCAGTCAGTGCTACTCGGCATGGTAGGGCTGTGGAGGTGGCTGCTCGATCCCAGTAATCATTCAACGCTGCAAAGTGCATCTGCAAGGGATATTCATCTCCCCCAGAACCCAGTGCAACCCTACACTGCTCTTTGTCCTTTGGAAAATAAGAGGATTGTCAGAGCTCAACTCTAAATGAGAGGAGAGCCTGCCTGCCTCCAGTGCTGGATCCAACCGTCAGCATTCATGACCCCATTGTTTTTTTAAATCCATCAGCCCCCAGTTGACTTGGCTAGAAGGCTCTGTTCAAAAGAATCTGTGGAAATGTTTTTGCTCGGATAGCACACCCATCATCACTTAGGGCCATGCCATCATGGTCACAGTACACATTGACACACTAAATAAAATTGACTAACAAACAAATTTGCACCAGTCAAGAAGAATAACTTTGTTTGAGAGACAGTAGTATAGTTGTAGGTAGAGATACCTTGTAGAGAGATAAGCAGAAGGTTTAGTGTCAAGGCTAACCCTGGGTCTTGTTATGTTGTAATGTACCCTGTCAGGTGGGTATCATACACCTTTCATTATAGGTGGTCCTATGAGGGACTCAGGCTGTCATATGCCTTTGCCTTGATCTGAGAGCAGCAGTTGAGAACACAGTGAGAGAGAGAAAGAGGGGGGGGGGGGGGGGGGGGGGGGGGGGGGGGCTTTTCATACAAGCTTCACTCTGTTTGAGTACAGGCCCCTGGAGGAGTTGACCAATCCTGTCCAGAATAACTTCAACAGTGAAAACAGAGCTCCAGGTGCTAACACAGTGGTGAAAAAGGGCTTTTTAGTGGTTGTTTTAAAGTGTTTTCACTCACAACAACTGTGAATGAACGAGCAAAACCAGGCATTTAGCCAACCCCCAGCCACCCTGAAAGCAACAACAAAAGATATCTAGGCAAAAAAACTAAAGAAAGACGTCACTCCTCCTTCCGCTACACGGAACCGTAGCGGCTGCTGAAATGTTAATGCACCTATTGAATATAAATCAATTGATTACTGGAATCGAACAGCTACTCAAAGGGTGTGGGGGGGAGAGAGAAGAAGAGAGATAGAGAGAGAAGAGCAAGAGAGAGAGGAGAGATAGAGAGCGAGAGATAGAGGAGAGAAGAAGACCGATCTCTCGCCGCTCTCTCTCCAGCTCTCTCTCTCTCTCAAGACTAAGCTCTGCTTTCTCGCTCCTATCTCGCTTCTTCTCTTCGTCTGCTCTTCCCTCTCTCTTCTCTGATCTCCCTGTCCTCGCATCTTATCGCCTCTAGAGGACTCCGGGTGCTCATGCTCTCCGGATGCATAAGAGCTCTCATAATAGCCTCTATCCATCTCATTCTCTCTTTCTCTCATCGTATCTCTCTCCGGAAAAAACAACCCCCTGTATAAAGTCAGCTTTTAAATAATGCACCGTTGTATTCTTTCCCCATGCCACCACACTTGTTTCCACTTTCGCTCAATCATAAGATGGTGCCCCGGAAAAAAAGAGAGATAGGAATAAAAAATCAAAGTCGTCCCTACGGCTGCTGAATAATGCATTGAGTTAGAGGTTCCCCACTGTACGTGGCATTTCATCTTCCCGCTAGGGCTTTATCTCCATCTCTATGGCTACTTAAAGTAAAGCCCCCGTGCCCAGCTAGCAGACTGTAGCCTTGCATAGGAAGCCTGTGGAAAGCTTGGCCATACATTCTCTTCTCTCAGCGTTCGCTCTACTTTTCTGTGTTAACTCAGTCAGCCGCTATAGGCTAGCTACAGTACAATCTTTCTTCTCTTCTCTCCACCTCTCTTCTCCTCCCCCAGTGCGACCCCACTCTAAGACCAGCAATATAGCCCTTTCGTTCACAAAAAAACCCGGTTCAGATGGTTTAGCAGACTGGTTAGCTGGGCCCTTTTAAAGACATGTCTGTGTCCCATGGCTGTGTCCCAAATGGCACCCTATTTGACCAGAGCCCTGGTCAAAAGTAGTGCACTATAAAGGGAATAGGGTGCCATCTGGATCAGGCATTATCTGGACTAATTAACAGCCTTCCTCATCCTGCTCCTCCTCTACATCCTCCTCCTCCTCCTCCTCCTCCTCCTCCCCTACGCTCCTCCTACTTCTCCTATTCTCCTCTTTCTCCTCCACCTCTTCCTTCTCCTCCATATTTTACCTTTCCTCCTCCTCCTCCTCCTCCTCCTCCTCACATCTCTGCATGGTGACATCCCCTTACTGTAGGATGCTCTGAATGTGAAAACATCAATCAATAGCTTTGGACACTACTTTTCTAGATCACATCAGTGGGGACATGTTTTACTACGAGACACTCAGCCTATCACATATCAGATGGAAACATTTTATCCTAGAGTCCACGGAGACACACTATGCCTGCACACATAACACCCACATATAGGCTCCATACACACTAAAGGTATACAACTGATGCAACGCATTCGGCATAACGGTTGTAATACAACAGAGAGCTTTTCTGCCAAAAATATTTACACAAGCATTGTGGAGACAGCGCACAATTGTTGTATACACATTTCTGTGACGACAAACTCTCCATTGAATCATGAACATGCAGTATCAGTTGTATCACAACCATCGTGTCAAATCAGTTGTTCAACCTGTGTGTATGGGGCCATACAGACGCTGGATGTTTGTAGGATGTTAGGGGTTTGTTAGGGGTGATTTGGCAGTAATGGCAGTAAATAGTCCTGATAGCTATAAAGCACTTTGTGACATGTTGTTGTTAAAAAGGCTACATTAATAACATTTGATTGAAAGATTGATTAATTGGTCTATAGCTCAAGTGGCATTATGCTGTGAAGTGGTAGAAGGGGGTAAATGGTAGGGAGATGGATGGCGATGGTAGGGCCCAGAGTTTTTCCTGGTCAAGTCAAGTGGTCGGGAAAAACTATAGGAAGCTGTTGCCCTTACCATGGAGATGAGCTCTCCCACCATGCCCGTCCAGGTACCGTTGGTCCCCGATACCCCGTAAACCCCGTCCCCCACCAGATTGATATGGTACTTGAACTTCAAGATGTCCGCCAGCTCCTTCAGCATGTCCACACAGAAGCCCTCATAGCGCTCATTCCCTTCCATCTCCTGGTGGTTCGGTCGTAGCATCACATAAGGGTTCTCCTGCAAAGGGACACAGATGTAGCATAGCACATGTAGAATACCATTATAATGTGGCGACCTTAACCCAACACCTAGCGACCTCAGACCTCTTGACGTAACGGTTAAGATGTTGGCTTGACAGTCACCCGAGTTTGAGTCCCGGTTGGGGCTGCCCCCCGAATTCGCAACAATTAGTATAGCATAACCTAGTGTAGCATAACATCATTTCAATCTTGACAACTTCCCCTTTTTTAGGGTCAAGTTGATATTAGCAGGTCTGGACAGTGGACACTATCTCACCAGAGGTCATTTGTTTTAAAGAGGAGCCAATAAGAATATATCTATGCATCAATTAACTTCACCACCGTACTTGGCGTGGGAACGAAAGCACTCAGGCACCTGCCACTGTCTGGCACCTCCGCCGACATTACTTTTTTTTACCCCCTTTTTCTCCCCAAATTCGTGGTATCCAATTAGTAGTTACAGTCTTGTCCTCGTGGTCCTCTGTAGCTCAGCTGGTAGAGCACGGCGCTTGTAACGCCAATGTAGTGGGTTCGATCCCCGGGACCACCCATACACAAAAATGTATGCACGCATGACTGTAAGTCGCTTTGGATAAAAGCGTCTGCTAAATGGCATATTATTATTATTATTATTGTCCCATCGCTGCAACTCCCGTATGGACACGAGAGAGGCGAAGGTCGAGAGTCGTGCGTCCTCCGAAACACAACCCAACCGAGCCGCACTGGTTCTTTACACAGTGCCCGCTTAACCCGGAAGCCAGCCGTACCAATATGGCGGAGGAAACACCATACACCTGGCGACCGAGTCAGCGTGCACTGTGCCCGGCCCGCCACAGGAGTCGCTAGTGCGCGATGGGACAAGAACATCCCTGCCGGCCAAACACTCCTCTACCCTGGACGGCGCTGGGCCAATTGTGCGCCACCCGCATGGATCTCCCGGTCACGGCCGGCTGCGACAGAGCCTGGACTCGAACAAGAATCTCTAGTGGCACCTTAGACCACCGCCGACTGTTTTAAAACTCTGTCTTTGACTAACTCGCTCTTTCTTCAAGTTTGTTCCTAATTTACGATTTGTTTTTTTCATAATGTTGAGCAAGCAGCTCAATTATTTAAATTTGGGGGGTTAAGAGAGATTTATCAACCAATCTTTGGGCAGCAGGTAGCTTGTGGTTAAGAGCGTTGTGCCAGTAACCGAAAGGTCGCTGGTTCTAATCCCCGAGCCGACTAGGTGAAAAATCTGCCGATATGCCCTTGAGCAAGGCACTTAACCCTAATTGCTCCTGTAAGTTGCTCTGGATAAGAGCGTCTACTAAAAAAAATGAAAAGGGGTCCACCTTGACTAAATGTGCTTACATTTTTTGGAGAATGCTTTAATAAAGCATGTATCAAATCTCGAATGCTGCAGCCCACATGGAAAAATACTATAGTGTATACTATGGTAGGAATACTATAGTATTCACTGTAGTGTTTTTGCGGACTGAAGACTGAAGTCCGCAAAAACACTACAGTGAATACTGTAGTATACTGTAGTATACTGTAATATTTACCATTAACTATAGTATAAATACTGTAGTAAAAAAGTGTAGTATATATTATAGTAATTTTGGCCGACTGTAGTATACTGTAGTATTTACTGTAGTGTTTTTGCAGACTGTAGTATACTGTAGTATTTACTGTAGTGTTTTTGTTTTATTATCTTTGACATAGAAGTGGGGTACTTTCTTCTTGAAGAATACTACTGGAGAAATGCTAAAAGCTGGTTTCCAAAACCTGTAGGTAGGTAGGACTGGGGTCTGAATGGAGAGTTCAGAGCTTCTGCTCTTTTCTATAACCTGTAGGGAACACAATATATGGTCTATATGTAGGTTTGTTACGGCTGGCACAAATTGGGATCTGGGGTAGGGGAATGGGCAGGGTATATGCAAATTAAATACTGTAGTATTTACTATAGTTGAAAAAATATATAGTGTTTTTGCGGACTGTAGTGTTTTTGCAGACATTTAGTATTTACTACAGTGTTTTTTTGTGGATAATACTGTAGTTTACTATAGTATTATACAGTATACTACAACATTCTATACTAAGTACTACACATGATCGAGGGATACTACAGTGTATAGTATTCTACAGTATACTACAGTTTAAGTACTGTAGTATTCTATATTATACAATGGGTGGGTCTAATCCTGAATGCTGATTGGTTAAAACCGCATTCCAGTCGGTGTCTATTCCACAAGTTACCACCGGCTAAATCTATGACGTTAAAATACCTATTTACTCTGTTTCATCTGACTGCGCAATCCACTATCTCATCAGCCCAGCCAAGCAATTTATAAACTTGATCTCCACTATAAAAAAGCATCTAGACATTATCTGACATTTCTTTTAGACTAACATTTAGCTTTCAACAGCTGAGATTTGTATAAACCTTGCTGTCTGTCTCTCCGACATTTGCAACATTGTTTCAATATTCAAATTCGATCTCCAGCTGTCCCATAGTAATGAATGTGTCGGGAGTCGGGACGAAACAGACAGACAGGCAGGCAGCATTTCTCAGCCAGTCGAAATCATGAATCAGCTGGCATTGTTTTTATGGATATATGCAAAGAAATGTCAATTGAAAAAAGGTCAAACCAAACAAAGTGCAGCTAGTTTGCAGTCTTTCCAGCTTCAGTTTGAAGTGATTGTGTTAGCTGTGTTGTTGGCTAGCTCCTCTGAACAACAGTGTCCTGATGAGAGAGCACAATATATCCTCCAAACACCGGCTTCTTGGGCATTATCATTTAAGTAAACTCTAGTATTTTTTTATGTGGGAGCCTACTAATGACATTGCTGGAAAAAACGTCATAAATTGAACCGAACATTGTCACCTTCGCAACATGTCGGTTTTACAGAGTGAAGCCAGCCTTGTAACAGGCAGCTTTTTTAACCTGCTCTCTGTGACAGTGAGCTTTATACTTAAGTTGAGACAGAAAAATCACACTGTCTGATTTAGAGAATTATAGATAGAACACAAGTCAAACAGTGAAATTGCTCTATCATACTGCTATTGGGATGGCTTTAGTGTTGACTGGTGACCGGGAGATGGATTTGTCTCACAGTACGAAGTGGCGTCCCTCCATTATGACATAAAATGGAAAACCGGAGACGTCAAAGAGGAGGACACATCACAGCGCCACCAACCATTCTGTCACCATGGCAACAACAGTTATTCTACCTGTGGTACTATCGGGCCGGTTTCCTTTACACTTGAGTGCACACACCGCTTTGTGCTATACTGATAAGAGAATAGCAAAAGGGATAGTAGAATGAGGGGTTTTCCCAGCCTTCTCTGCATCATATCTGAGGTCACATTCTAATTGTTCCTTTTAGTGGACATACTCATCAGTATTAGATGGAGGGAGAGAGCGGCGGATGCTTTGAACGTATGCAGGCAGGTGAGCTCCTGGACTGCATGTTAAAGAAGAAGAGTACAGACAGAAAGAAAGAAAGAAGGGGCCTTTCAGGCCCTGAGTCAGAGCACAGTGACACTCTATAAATGCAAATCCTCTCCATTCATTAAGTTATTAAACAGCCACGCATGTTACCTTTCTGCCCCCGAGTTGACACCTCTGCTGTGGTTATGCGGTGCCACGCGGGAAGGCACAATATAAATGCAAATTATGTCATCGCTCGCAGCAGCCTGGTCGCGGAAGCGCTCAACCATTGCAGCCGGACAGATGCTTTCCCTTTCCCATCCCAATCTAGGGCTTATTAAGGAGTAGCATTTCACGGGCCAGTTTTATATTACACGGCAGGGGTTTCAAGGGAGAAAGATTGGAAACGAATAAACAAACCTTCTGGATTCAATTAATAGGTCTCCACACCCCCGGCGACAGAGAGGAGTGGGCCTTTCCTCTTAATTAAATGTGGCTCATAATTCCTCGGCTAGCTCTCCCTTGTTGATTGATGAGTGTGAAAGGGAGGAAGAGTAATTCTATATTTATCTCCCCAACAGCCCCCAATATTAGGAGACTCTATAGAGGTGGGGAAGAACATCCTCGGTTGGTGACCTGGTTAACTACCTTAGCTCATGTATTAATTGGAGATCCAGCAATTTTCAGACATCAGAAATTACTATTTTTCTCAATTGCTAAAACACAATTTCTGAAACCTTGCTCCATTTCCTGAAAACATTAAACACAAAACCTCATCTTCAAGCACTATTTACAAAACCTCTGACTCCTCTCGCAAAATGAAACATTCGCTTCAAAACAGTTTTACCTGTGTTCAAAATCAAACCCTGCTCTCAAATCATAAACAAAGTGAATCAAAATGATATACACTCTCAAGCAGTCAGTAAACAATACACCGAAAAATAGAAAACACATTGTTCAAAACATACAGTTCTCAGGGAGAAGTAAATGTTTAATCTCAAAACAAATTTCATATTTTTCCGTCATTGTCTTTTGATGAACGAAAACATGTTCTATCATAGTAGCTCAAAATTGATCAGAAATTACTACTCTGCTTTGCTCTTTGCAATTTGTTTTTTTGTTCTTCCTCCTCCTTGTACCCCTATTTTTACAGTACTGTACCCTGCATCTCACAAACTTGTCCTTTGTCTCTGTGATACTGTAATTCTTGTTCTTTGTTGATATGAACCTGCAACCAGTCAAAATCTATTGAGCAGTCAGTTCTGTTAACAAATGGAAAGCACAATGTTCAGGGCCATACAATTTGTCCATTGTACAGTATGCACTGTACTACAGTATACAATACTAAAAGGGACAAAAACATGTGATCAATGTGCTTCTTCTTGTCTTTGGGCTGGGTCAGGCCAGAGCACTTCGTCGACATCACAAGCAATATTGTCCCTCCTGAGGCAACGGGGGAAGAAGCCTCTTGTGTGCCGTATCCAGCCCTGACATGATTCCTCACCTATATCACCACAGGCTAAATCCATGGTTTGCAGCAGATTTACTCTTGTGTAGGGTTGTCTAT